CCCAGCACTGGGAGGGGAACCTAAGGGAAGGAAGCTGCTTTCTCAGCTGCAGGAGTGGGGCAAGTTGGCTGGGGCTCCACGCCTTGCACATAACACTGGAGCACCCCGCACCCCTCCCTCCAGATCCCAGGCTGCCTGATCATTGCCTCATTCTCCTCCCCCTTGGGGGCTGTTGATTTGTTGGGTATTTACAGAAAAGCTACCACATTTCAGATGAGTCAATGCATGGTGGAGAGAAAGAGTAAATTTCATATGAACTAAAATTTCATTTGAATACCTGAAACTCCGGATATGGGGTCTGGATGGCGGTCTATGAAATTGGCCGGTTCTGGGTGGAGGTCACCGCTAGAGTTTAGAGAAAGAGTTTTTCTACTGAGATAAACTAACCCACAGATATATAAATTATTAGAGAAATTTATTCATGCTTAAAACAGTTTAGTTTTGGTTTGTGTTTTGAAAATGTGTAAAAGGCTTAATTATTTTTTTAAATGAGTAAACAATAAAAGTTAAATATACAATAAATTTAAAATGCTCACACACGTTTCCTATGTGTGGATGTTTTATGAAAAGAGAAATCAGAGGTGAAAAGACCAATGGGAGGGGTTGGGGACAAGGGAGAGCCCCCCAGAGATGGGAAAGCACAGAGGAGTCCTGAGGGGAGGTTGGTCCAAGTATATCAGTAGTTCTAGAGATGTGTTCCTATTACCTTATCCTTAAGCTCTCATACCTTCTACAACTGCCTCCAGACAAAGCTAATAAACTGAATAATGTTGTTTACAGCTCTTCCGTGGCTCTTTACCTTGGAATCCCAGAGGCACTATTCTGGGCCGTGTACTTGCCCCAGCATTCCAGGGCCCGCTGTGGGACACCCCCAGGTGTAAGACTCAGGTGTGCTCCGTGGGCTGCGAAACACAGAGTGGGAGGCAGACTGGACACTAGAGAGAAGCTTCCTGAGTGGGGTTCGGCCCTGGTTTTACTCACCTGGCTCTTTATCTGGGACATGGTAGATACTCATTAAATATTTGTTGGATGAATGGATGGATTGGCTGGGTGGCCAATTTGCTTGGAGAGAGGCCCCTCCTTTCCATTAGCACTAGAATGAGAAGAGGGGCCAGTGCTCCTTCCCTGCTTGGTCCTGAGCTGTCCTGGGCAGGAAATGGTCCTTTCTCTTTCGTCAACAGAGTGAATAACCACTTCCTCATGAGACAGAGCGCAGGCCTGCCCGGGCCTTGATCTTGGCATGGTAATTGGTGCTGAACACTGAAGTGTGTGTCACCCCTGCCTCACATGATACAACTCACCATCAGTCCCACCACCTGCTTCAGGGCTTTTGCCTGAAATTGAGACTCAGCGGGGCATCAGGTCTGTCGCCTCCTCCACCCCTGTCAGGTGCCTCCTCTCCTCTATGACACTGTCATTGAATACTACTGTAGGGGAAGGGAAAGGGAGAGGAGTGACTGAACCTGTCTTGCCTGGACTTAAAGTAGGTGGGAGAGGGGCTGAGACCCAAACGCAAAGCCCAGAACTCCTTCAAGCAAGGCTTGATCTATTGACCCTCTTGTGCTCCTGCTTGCCTGCATTTTTGTTCAAGAGACCTTTTGGCAGGTGGTAATTAAGAGCACTGCCTCTGGGCTAGATGCCCAGGATGACCTGGGGGCAGCTCCTCAACCAATTCCTGCCTGTTTTCTCATTTGAAAACTGAGGGTAATAATGTCAAGGGGGATGAATAAAAATGCTACTTATAAAAGCACTTTGAATAGTGTGATATGTGGGCTAGATCCATGTTCAATGGAGTCTGGAGTTTATACAAGTTGATACAAAATTAATGCAAAAGTATTTATTTAGAGTAATAAAGACATTACACAAAAATACAAATTTTAAAAGACTGACAAATGCAAAAACATAACATTTAAAAAATAATACAATATTTGTATTAATTAACTGCCACTAATTAACCTCTATAACTTCTCCATCATTTTTTGCTGACAGACTCCTTTATTACCTCTTTATTCAACACCACTTTTGTAATATCATTTTCTTTAGAGCAAAGAGAAAGCAATCCTCCCTCTAGTCTGGATGAGATTCAGTTTTTTAAATTATTAATAGTTAACGTTAGTTAATTATTGGTAGTTTCTTTCTTCTTCACTACCCTTCACTGGTAACATCGTGTAAAACTGTAGGATTGTTAGCAAATTTGTGTAAACTTCTGATTTAGTTGCTATGACTATATAACAAACCACCCCAAACTTGATGGCATAAACAGCAACGACGTTATTAGGCTCCCAGATTCTGCTGGCCAGAAATTCAGACAGGGCCCTTGCTGGGTGTGACTCAGCAGCTGGCCTGGGAGTGACTCAGCAGATGGCCTGGAATCACCAGAAGGCTCACTCACCCCCATGCTGGCTCTAGGCTCAGCGGACTTGGAGACAAAGACTGCAAACTCCGGTGCCAACTCGGTGTCTCCACGTGGCTTGGCTCCCTCACAGCACGGCTAGCGCAGGGGACTTGGAAGCTCTCATGGAGGCTCTCAGTGCAACAAGGCATCGGTTTTCATGACCTAACCATGGAGTCAAGCAGGGTCAAGTCTCTCACATCCTACTTGTTGAGAGTGTCCAGCCCCATAGACTCCAGAGCCGGGGAATTTTCCTCCACCTCTCAGTGAGGGAGTGGCAGGTTCCAGAACAGCACACAGGATAGGAAATTTTGAAAATGTCTTTAGATATTTAGAAAAATACTATCCACCACAATCTCTCTCAAGTGTCTCTCCCACCTGAGTGATGGCAGATGTGTGGGCCACTTGTAGCATAGAAATATAATAACTTCTATTTATTGAAATTCCCATCAAATATAGGGAAAAGCATTCCAGACCTGATGGAAAACAAGAACTAAATCTTTCCCATAGGATTTATGTGTCCGACTGGACAAATTTTCCAGACTAATTTCTGGCTCTGTATGTTTCAGACTTTGTTTCTCTCCCTCTACCCTGCCTTTTTCACAGTGGAACGCAACCTCTGGCCTTGTATCTTTGTGTCACAATTCCCAATGAGCTGGCACAGTAGGTGGTAGGAGCGTTTCAGAAGCTATTCCTAAACCAGAATGACTTGCAGGAACTTCACTGTACATGAAACTGATGGCAAACCACATAACTATGTTCCACTAAACCGAAATTAAATGTACCTCTAACTCCACTTCTCCTTGGCCAGATAGCCACAGTCACGTGAGCATTAACAGAGGAGATGAAAGAATGGGAACACAGTGGTCTCAGCCAGCTGCTTAGTTTTCCAAATTTTATGAACACATATGTATGATCACAAGAAGCTATTGCGGGGTCCTCTCAGCACACAGGAAGGGCGTGTGAAAGAGGAGGACCAGTGTAAGCATCACTGGCTTCCCTGTAATAGACCTGCAGTGCCTCTGCCTGCACAGCATCCATACTGTTTAAGTGTTAACTGTTACCATTGGCTCCTTTTCCTGACAGGTCTTCCTCTTGTGGCAAGATGTGTACATTCAGCAGCTCCAGCGTCACATCCTCGCAGGTTCTTGTCCAGCAGGAAGCACAAAGTGCCTCTTTCAGTACTCCATGCACCAGGATTTACTGCGCACCAGCTTGGCTCATGAGTCCAATGAGCCATGAGCTGGTTAGGTAGCCCGGCCACATGCTGCATTCTTGTGGCTGGAGGTGGAGTGACACCACCCAAACTGTGGAAGGGCTGGTTCTGCAGAGGAAATTTGGGAAAATAGACGGTCAATGAATGCCAAGTGAAAAGTAGCTGGTAATTTACTGTGTGTATAGAGCAAACTTTGAGAAGAGAGAGTGGTAGGAAGAGAGGGGAAGGCCAGCTAAGGAAGAAGGGATGACAGACTGGCAGATGGAGGTGCCCAAGACCTCCTCGCAGCTTGGGGGGCCTGCTCAGATGAGCCCTGTAGGCACGTCCCCCCCCCCTTGAGGGCTGCAGTGGCCTGGGGGATCAGCAGGTGGCTTCAAGGTGGCCCTGCTTCCAACTGATGCCCCCATATCTCTCTGCCTCTCTTCTGTCCTCTGACCTGAACTTTGTCCCCCTTGGCCCACCTCTCCCTTTCCCTGCTCCCTAATCATAGTTTTTTCAGAGTCAGGGGTATGGAGATTGGCAAGACAGGTCCTGAGTTCATGCAAATTGTATTTTCCATTCAATTATTTTTCACTTGTTCGTAGACCATTGTTAATTTTATTTTGGCTGATTCTGTAGTAATACATTTTATATCCATTTGTAATAATTTAACATTAATTCAGTTTCATTTGCCTTGAAATACAAATCATTGTTGTTCAATTACATAGTGAACTGGCAGTAAAATAACTGAATTCACATCATTTCAGGAGACCATTTAGTGTCACTGTGCACACCAAATAGTTTAAACCAGTTACTTACAGAGTTTTTCTGTAAAGTTCATAATCTTAAGAGTTTCCTGATTGGTCTCTTCTGCCATTATTACAGTTTTCCAGCTGAGTCTAATTGAAACCCTCTGAACTCCTAGGACCAGCCAAATGGAAGTAGTGAGGGTACTGCTGAGGGCCCAGAGCCTGCACAGTCTCTGACTGCTCGGGGCCTGCCCTCTGGGACTGCCCTTCTGCTCACACCCAGGCTCCAGGCCGCTAGGAGCTGCCGAGGAGTTCCAGCATCCCGTCTGCTCTCTGATGCTCCACTCTTCTTCCCACAGGCTGGCCTGGCTCAGGCTGGGGCTGGGCTGTGGGGGTTCCTCAGCTCTGCCACTTCCCATCCTCAGCCCTCAGCCTCAGTGAACCAGCTTCCTGCCATTGTCCCTGAGACCTGTCTCACCCGGATTGCTGCACCGGCAGCCCTGACACCCTACAGCTGGAAGGGGTACTCCACCTGTGGTTCCTGGAGCCCTGCCAGAGGTTTCTGGAGGTGCTGGTTGGCCCAGCCACTTGGGGAAGAGGAGAAGATGCTGGGCTGAGGGAGTGACCTGGAGGTGGAGCCCTAACCTGTTTATAGGATCGTGGCTTCTTGGAGGCTGGCAGATGCACGGTCCCATCCCACTGGAATAGCTGCTGCCAGCCAGCCAGGGAGCTGACATCTTGGCAGGAGCTTGGAGTGGAGCCGAAAGGGTTGTCATGGAGAAACTGACACCTAGAGGACCATCTGGCCATCCTGACCAGGTAACAGTGCTGCCGAGCCCCTGGGCCTCTCTCAGGGTAGGCCTGGGGTTGCGTGAATTCCAAGAAGCTGACACAGCTGAAACCATGGTGATTGTGGGGAGGGCCTGGGGCCCAGGCCTGGGGTCTCTGCCCAGGGAGAGGCCTGGGGGAGATCAGAGAAGGTGAGGGTTCTGTGCTTGAGGATGCAGAGTGTGTGGGGTGGGTGATCAGCATCCATAGAAGCAAGGACCTCCTCTCTCCACACTTGAGTGACCAGCCAACAGCCCCCTTACAGCCCCTTCCTGTCCCCCCTACAGGGGCTCATACACTGCATCAGAGAACACAGTGGCTGCGTGTCCCACCTGCCACCTGGAGGCAGGGCACCTCCAGGAACTGGCTGGAGCCCAGGGGCTACCCTGCACGTCTCAGGAGCTCTGCCAGCGCAGTGCCCATTCATTGCCAATTGTTTACTGGGAGTAAGAGATGCGGCTACACCAGGCCAAGAAGGCCTACAAACTACTCACCCCACTCCTACCTGGTGCTTCCCCTCAGCCCAAATTTCTTATCTTCTGCCAGGAAACAAGGCCACGGGGACTGGCTCCTCCGGGCCCCCCTGGTGCCCCATCCTGTGGCCACGAAGGGGGCTAAGCATCCCAGGCTCTCTATCCTGAGGCATTTGCCTCATTTTCTGAACTTGCTACGCTTCTGGAGCCTTCAGGTGCTCCTGGAGGAAACTTGCCTGGGGCTGGCCAGACACCAGGGCATCCTGGGGAAGACGGAGAGGGCTCCTACCATGGAAGGACAGCCCTTGCTGCCCGGGCTGTGTCAGCCTGAGGTCTGGAGGGCCCTTACCAGGGCAGGCATCTGTGGAAACACCCTAGTGGGGCTCTCAGAGGAACCCCAATCTGCAGAAGCATGGCAGAGGAAGGGCTGGACAGCCTTGGTTCCATCTGCTCCCCTGGTCAGGAGCCTGAGTGCCAGAATCCAGAGGTGAAAGTTTTTGAAGAATCCCCTTCACTGTCATCTCCCTGGGGAAAGCTAAACATCCTCCTCCTCCTACCCTCTGCCTGCTGTGGTCCCAGCCCAGGAGCAAAACTGAAGCCCAGGTTTCGGCGACCCTGGAGCCTACGCCTGCCCACACACCTGGGAGGCACCTAGCCTCCAGCTGATGCTCCCAGGGCCAGTGGATTTCAGCCTTCAAGGTGGCTCCTGGGCTGGGCAAGCCTCAGCGGGGGCCTTACCCAGCCTCTTTCCTCCTGGAACAGGGACCTGGAGCCTGCCATGGCAGCATGAGCTGGGCTGGCAGGGCAGGCCGTGCATCCAAGACTTGCTCTGTACATACTTTCTGGGTGATCTGGGAGCATCGGCCCAGCCTGACTCAGGAGGAGCAGGGCCCCAGGCTGGGCCGGCAGCGTCCGCTCCTCTTCTCTCCAGCCTCCCCGCACTGCCCCACCACAGGCCACTGGGTGCCAGGCAGGGAAAAGGGCAGCCTGCTTATTTTTCTCTTCCTGCTGAAGACCACCTGGTCATAGATACTCTGGACTCCAGTCTGGGGACTCCAGCCCCCCTCAGGCTCCTTGGACCACATGCCCCGTGAAGGGCAGGGGCCAGCACTGAGCCTCTCCACAGGGAGGAGGTGGAAGGAGGCCCCGGTGTCCCTGCATGGGTGGAGAGACGGTGGCTGAGACTCTCAGCAGGGAGGCACTTCCAGGGCCCTACAGGAAGCTGGGCTGGGGTCCCTGCTGGAGAACCCTGCCATGAGCAGCCAGGGTCGGTTGGCAGTGAAGGCACTGCTTCAGATGGGAGATTCTTTCAACAGGGAAGGTGAAGCCCAATGCCCTCAGGAGGAAAGAATCATAGTAGTTAACATGTTAGTTCAATTATCATATTTTTGTCTAAAAGAAATCTATGAAATTCTAGTGTCTGGATATTCATAGGGCAGTGGGCAAAAGTTGCATGCTTTTACAAAGAGGCTGGGAAAGTTGGAAAGCACAGTGGTTATGAGCTCTGGCCTTGAATCCTAACTATGTCACCTGCTAACCCTGTGACCTAGGGCAATTTAACTTTTTGGAGCCTCAATTCTCTCATCTGTAAAATGGGAGGAAATGAGAGTATTCTTTCATGAGGTTGTCAGGAAGATAAATCAAGTTCAGATATGTAATATGCTTAGTACAGCACCTAGAAACATAACAAGCACTTAATAAATAGTAGTAAGAGCAATTATGTAGAAACCGCTTACTTTTTTGCTAAGCATTCTACAGGCATTAATACATTTAGCCTCAGCACACGGTGAGAGGTGGATACTATTATTATTCCCACTGCCTGTGAGGAGATGGAGGCACCAAGTTTAGTGACTTGCGCAGGGTCACATAGCAAGTAGGTGGAGGACCAGGGTTTAGGTCAGGCTACGCTGGCTGGAGCCTGCCCTGACCACTCTGCTCGACTGCCCCCAGGAACAACCAGTCACTGTAATTATTGTCACAGCCCATCCTCTGGGCGCTCTGTGTTAGTGACAGTTTTCGAGTTGAAGAGAAATGGAATTTCACTCTAGGAAAAATATCCTTTTGGGAAACAGTGGGCTTTCTGAGGTTGAGAGGCTCTCCGTGACCAGAGGAGATGGGCAACAGCACTCAAATTGGGCATGGCGACTGGCTGGAAAGTGAGCAGCTTGGAGCACTTCTCAGCAGCCCCAAGTGGCTTCAGAGCAGCCTTCAGGCTGTGGCCCCCAGGATCAGGGAGACTGTGCTGCTGTCCACCCCATCTCAGAGTTGGGGGACCCCAGCCAGCACCTTCTCAGTGGCAGGCGGGGAGGACCTGGGGCCAGGTGTCCACAAAGTCATTAAATCCCTGCCAATTAAATCCTCTGCTTGAGGCCCAGAGGATTGAACTTTTGCGACACTGGCAGACCCCCACCAGTGTCACTGGAGTTAATCCCTAGGAAGGGAGAAACAAGTCTACCTTGCTGAAGTGCTCTGCCAGAAAACGGACAGGAATGACAAGACTCTCAGCATGAAGCCACAGGAGAGGGATGTGCAGGGAGCCAGGGGGCAGAAGTCCTGGGTGGCTTTCATGGTTCTCTGTGGGGAGTGCAGGGGATGGCGGGGCCTGTGCAGAGCAGAGACCAGCTCTGGGCAGGAGCCGAGATCTCCAGATCACACACAGAATGGGGCTGGTGGTGGAAGGGTGCCAAGCAGGAAGCAGCTTTGGTTTCGTCCCAATAGTGCCTGCCCGCCAGGCAGTGCTGAATGCCTGCCATACCTGCACAGCGCTGCCTATGCCTTGGAGCACAGGGGCTGACCACAAGAAACCTATGTCAGGTGACCAGAAAAGTCCACCTAGCTGGGCCTCAGGAAGAAAGGAAACCCAAGGCCCCTCTGCCCTCGGATCCCAGCAGTGCCAAGGACCTCAGCACTGGGGGACTGAGGGTTGTTCACTGCCCTGTCCCCAGCAGGACTCAGCCATGTCCTGCCTATCTTCTGCTTTTCCTCCTGCCACCTATGTCTACTCCTCTCTGTCCCTCAGGGCTTCTGCCCACTCAGTTTCTTCTTCCTCATCTCTGGGCTTGTCTATAGGCTGATGTAGCCTTGCCAACATCTCAATACACAGTGACCTTTCACCCCGTGCTCATGGTAACCGCCTAATGCTCTTAGAGTTTCCTGATTCACACCCAGGAGAGGGTGAGCACCTGGCTGTCACAGACACGGGCTCCCAGGGCTCAGCTCCTTGGAGTCATGCGCCCACTTCCTCTCCATAGGGCTGAGGGTAGTGGGGGTGCTGGGCAGAAAGACCACATGCTTCATCAAAGGGCTGCCTCCCTGGGAGCTCTAGGAGTGGCAGACCCCCAGCTGACATGTCCAGTGTGGTGGTCATTCCTTAGCCCTCAGTTCCCTGCTTTCTCCACTACACTGCACAGCTCAGGGACCCCCTCCCCCACAAATTCCACCCCAAGGTGGTCTGCCATGCCTTGACCGCTATAGCCCGGAACCCTGGGCCTGAAGACAGTCGGGGGCAAACGCTGTTTGGCCCCAGCATCACCAAGCATCTGGGAGAAGCCTTGGTGCAGACTGCTGGGGCTGATGAATGAACAGCAGGAACTCAGGAGTCTGCAATTTCTCTCCAGGAGGCCTCTGCCTGCTGGCGGCTCACCATCAGGGTCCTGGAGGCGCGGGGCCTGGGCTGGGCTGACCTCTGTGAGTAATTGTTTCCTGGGTTATAGGGGTGTAGGGCTGTCTGGGTCCAATATGAAAGGCCTGGATGAGTGCCTTGGGGCTGGGCTGGGCTGAGCTGCCCGTGGTGGCTGTGGAGGCCTAGGTGGGAGTCTGGCAAGGCCCCCAGAGGTGAGAGTGAGGAACTGTCTCTCACCATGGTTCCCTGATGTTGGCAGGGAGTGAGGCAGACCCCTACGTGACCCTACAGCTGCCAACCTCACCTGGAATGAAGTTTAAGACCAAAACAGTCACCAACTCCAGTCATCCTGTATGGAATGAGACCTTCAGTTTCCTAATTCAGAGACAGGTCAAGGTAACGGCCAGGGTCACCCATGTGTGGATGGGCCAATCCCCCCACAGGGAGGGTTGCTGGGGTGGAGTGCACCTTCCTCCAGAGCTCAGTCAGAGAAACTGGGGCAGGAGTGTCCTTGTGCCCCTGGGAATGCTGCATGAGAGAATGTGTGAGCCCACCAACCAGCTGTGGGCCCCACCCCAGCAAACTGCCAGTCCTCTCCAGGCCCATCTATGGAATGGGGACAGTAAGATCCCCTCCTCCCCTCCAGATGGGGAGAGTGTGAGTTGAGATGAGATAATGCCCAGAAGGCTCCCAGTGCGATGTCTGGTCCCTATCCTGCATTTGGGAACCAGCAAAGCACACGGCTGACTCTTTGAAAGAACTTTATTTTTTATAAAAACACAAATTAGCAGACGGAAATTAGGAACAACTTTGCTGGATTTCCTTTAAGAGCTTTTAAGTTTTACCATTATTTTTATTCTGAAGTACAAAGTGTGGAGCCATAATCTTTTCAAGTAAGGGTTCCACATGTGTGAGCTGCAGTTATGAGTAAATAATGTGCAAAATTGCTGTCTTGGGTCCCTAGAATGTTCTGGAGCTGACTGTCTATGATGAGGACTCAGTCACAGAAGATGATATCTGCTTCAAGTTTCTCTATGATGTATCAGAAGTCATTCCTGGCAAGCTGCTCCGGAAGACCTTATCCCTGCGTCCCCAGGTGGGTGGGGGTCCCCACCAGTCCCACGTCTCTCAGCTTCAGGCTGAGCAAGTCTCATGGTTTTTGTTATCTGTTGGGATGTTGCTGGGCTGAACTCATTTACAGGAAGATGGAAACCTCTCCCAGAGACGTTTACATTTTAGTAGGAATGGAGAGAGTTTAACTTGACTGTTACAGACTGAATCACTCCACGCAGGAATTTTAGTCATCTTTGGGAGGAAGGTTCTGGGTGGTGGAGAACTTCCTGCTGTCCCTCAAAACACAGCTCAATGTAACTAACCCTTCAGGTAGTCACTGGCTCTATCACCCCGCCTCACTGCCTCTGAGCCCCATGGTGCCAAGGCCTTTTTTGTTACAGGCTCTGAGCTCTTCTCCAGCCGGTGGAGACTGAGAGCAGGGAGGGCCGAGTTCTGGGGTGGGGTCCCCTCAGGAGGAAGATGAAATGGGTCTGGGGCATCCACAAGCCTCCTTGTCCCATGCTCCTCGTCTGCCCCCTCGGCCCTGCCAGGGAGGAAGGTGTGTTCTATGCAGACTTACTGACTGACTCATTGGGGGTGACTTGACAGGCAGCCCATCTTTCCCTAAACCTCAGTTTCCAGATCTGTCAAATGGGAAGAGCTGTAAACCGTGCCTCCCTTAGAGACTGCTTGAGATGATGCAATAGTGCATGTAAAAGAACTGTGTCAACTCCAAAGTCGTGTGTCAATGTTGACAACTTGCTCATCTTTGATTTAAGGGACAGGAGGAGCTGGACGTGGAATTCCTGATGGAGAAAACGTGAGTAACAATCACACAGCCCACGGAGTGTTTTCAGGACCCAGGCCTTATTTAAGGAAATATCTTTGCCCATATCTTCCCACTGGTGAGTCCAGCCAGGTTTCCTGCCACTCACCTGCCCGTCCCGGCCAGTCCAGGTGGGGAATCCTCTTAGAAAAACAAGGAGAGGAAGGTCAGTGTTTTCTCTGCCCCACTCTGTCCTCACCTTTTGCTGTTTAGAAGCATCTCCCCTCACCCTCGGTGGGATCCAGGCCTCAGGGTCCCTCCACAGCACCCAGGGAGCCCGCACACGGGCTGAGCTTTGGCTGTGAGGGGCAGGTCAGCACAAGACACCTGTAACTTCGCAGAGCCAGGCTGAATCTTTCGGTTTTTCCAGGTCAGACTGCCCAGAAAACCTCATCACCAACGACGTCCTTGTGGTAACCACTGTCCCCAGGCTTGTGGGGGTTTGTGGGGAAGGGGCCCAGAGCAGGTGCCGGGGTCCGAGTGCAGATGGGCAGTAGCCTGGGCTGTGGACAAGGACAAGACTTTGTGGGAAGACCGCCCCTGGCCTTCCAGCTAGGTGGTCACCTACAGCTGTGGTTGGGGGCTGAGGGGCTGAGAGGGGCCTGGGGCTTAAGGGAACATGGAGAGAGGGGAGGCCGAGGCTCTGCTGAGAGCAGGCTTCACCCCACGGCAGGATGGCTGAGGGAGCACTGGGGGAATGTAGGTACTTCCTGACAGTATGCAGTCACCTATGGTAAACTCGGTTCTTAGTCCTGGAAGGTGGTGAGGAAGTCACGCAGGCCAGGCCCAGGTCAGGCTGTAACACTGAGGTATCAGCGGGAGTTTCCAGTGTGGTGTGCTTCCAATCTGAGAGCTCTGGGATGGCATTGGGGTCAGTCGGCCCCTCTTTGGGGCAGTAGAGAGTCCTGGTCAGCTCCCCTAAAACAGCAAGCTCATGTCACTGCAGTGGGCAGGGACAGGTGGCCAGCGATGCACTAGAAGCTTTCTACTCAAAGCAAGGTCCTGGACCAGCGAACAGATGTGACCCAGGGGCAGGGTCGGCCTACTGTGAGGCGAGTAGGGCATAAAGAGCACCAAACTGAAGGAGTCACCCACCTTCAGGATCATGCAAGTGCCTGTTGGATGATGGGCTAATGTTACTTTTTTAAAAAAATACACATTACTTTTTTTAAAAAATACACATTCAAATAGTCATACCTATGGCAGCTGCCTTTTATCTGAGGTGATGGAGACCAGCTGGTGGGCCGATAAACTCAGCACTTCTAAGGCAGAGGGTCAGTAGCAAGAGCAAAGAGGCCTGCAGACATCAGCCTGCAGGCATTACAGGGAGACTGCGGCAGCTCCTTCGGCAAGCCGTTTGCATGGAGGACAGTCAGGAGATACTCTAGTTGATAACATGTGAAGGGTTGCTCAGGGCCATTCCATCATCCTGTGGGCCAGTGGTTGGCATGATATTCTCTGGGAGCAATTGTAATGGAAATCATCCTCCACGTTGAGAGACAGAGAAGAACAACTGTGGCTAAGGGCTGGGCTTTCAGAGATTCCAGAAGTTTAGCAAATCTAGGAGAGCTGGAGGTGGGGGTCGGGGTGGAGACAGCTCTCCTGGCTGCTCCCAGATATCTGGCTTAGCAGTGGCAGTGAACCTGAGGTGGGGTGAGGGGTTTCTGCATCCAACTGCACTCTGGACCCCACTTCTTGTTCAGTGTGGTGGATTTGGGACAGTGGGGCCCAGAGGGTGAAGTTGAGGGGACCTCAGCTTCCCCTGGACCGCCCTTGCCCATGAGGTGGTCTGCCCCAGGCCCGAGAGCTGTCATGCCTGGATGTCCGTCTGGACAGCACGCCTGTGGTGGCAGGTGAGAGCTGCTCAGAACCAGGTCTGGCTTCTGCCTGGAGCGCTGGGGGAGGTGGGGTGGGCTGGGAGCCCATGTGGGGCAGGAGGCGAGCAGCAAGGCAGAGGGTGCCTCTCTTCTTTCCCACCCGGCACAAGGGAGACAGGTCCCTGACCTGGGGGAGGCAAGTTACTGGAGAGGGAGTCCCATGTGGGTTGTAGGGCCTGTCAGGCCAGGGAGGACACTTCCCAGCATCCTGTTTACCTGTTTACCAGGCACCTGGGCCTTGAACATGTCTAGGCATCACTGCCAATGTCCCAAGTCCTTGCTGGGGTTTCGGGCCTTTGCTCTCCCGAAATAACCTGCCTGCTGTCTCCCTAGATCTGGAGCTGGAGCTGGTGCTGAAGGGGTCATATGAGGACACACAGACATCTGCGCTGGACAAAGCCTCTGCCTTCCGCTTCCACTACATGGCGGCCCAGGAGGCAGAGCTGATCGGACACCTAAGGGTGGGTCTTGGCTCTGATGCTCTCCCGCCAGCCCTAGGCTTGGGCCGGCTCCAGCTGCCATGGGCTCCTCCCGGCCTTCCTCCTTCCAAGGTCGGGCCCCATGGCCTAGCCAGCCTCCCCAGTTAGGCACCACACTCTCGGCAGACAGAGAGGCTCACCAGGGGCCTGGAGTGAGCATGGGGAGCTGCTACGCCATGTCAGACTTTGAACCCTTCAATGGCTCCTCCAGTGATGCTTTTAGAATAAAATCTCACATCTGCACCCACAAGGCCCTGCGTGGCTGGCGTCTGCCCACCTCTGCCCACCTCTGCTATCCCATTTTGTTTATGCTCCCCCTCGTTCCTGATGCTCCAGCCTACTTGTCTGCTCTCCGTCTTCCAACATGCCAGCTGCTTTCCCTGTTTTCCTCCGGCTCCTTCCAAGGCTGCCTTTTCCCCTTCCTCCCCTTCTTCTTCCTCCTTTCTTAGGTCTCACACAAATGGTATCTGCTCAGAGGGGCCCTCCTTGACCCTCCATCTTCAATAGACTCACATACCCTGCCCTTGGGTGCTCTACCGTATCACACTGCTTTTCTTCACAACATTGACTAGCATCATTTCATGACCTGTTTCTTCATAAATTCATATACACAATTCAGTTAGAATAACAAATAAAATTAGCTATTATTATTTTTGTAATTACTAGTAATTATTATTATAATTACAATAATTGTAAATATTATAATTATTTTTATATTATCAAGGAAGGACTGTGTCTAGATTGCTGTCTAGATAGTAAGGATTTATTGAATGAATGAATGAATGAATGAATGAATGAATGAATGAATGAATGAATATTTCCCCCCAGAGCTTCAAAAGCAATGGCTGGAATGCAGACAACTCAGTTGGACACATTACCCTGCCCCTGAGGTCCTTGGCTGTGGGGACAGAGGTGCCCATTGACGTTCCTGCTGCAAATGTAAGTGGCTTCAAGTGGAGGGGAAGTACAGTGTGCGTAGAAATGGGGGAGCCCAGGGCCCCCAGGGGACACCCACACTCTGGTCAGGGTCTAGGACATTCTAAGGGGAGTCTCTTGCTTTGGTTTCAGACCCCAGGAGTGAGGCTGCAGCTCAAGACTGAGGGCTGGTAAAGGACATACCTGTGGGGGATAGTAGGGTGGTCGTGGGGCAGGGGAGTGCTGTGGAGAGGGTGGTCCTTGGGGTTGGGAGCAGAGAGGTTATTTGGCAGCTACTGTGGGCCTGGCCAACCTGTGACCAAGCTACACGGGTGTCCCTGACCCTTGGATCCTCTCCTGCCACAGCCCTAAGGAGCTTTCCATACACCTGGGCTTTGATCTGTGTGCCGAGGAGCAGGCCTTCCTGAGCAGGAGGAAGCAGGTGGTGGCCAGGGCCCTGAAGCAGGCCTTGCAGCTGGACAGAGACCTGCGGGAGGATGAGGTGTGGGGGTGCTGAGGGATGTGGGTGCAGATACCATGGACTGGCCTTAAGGGAGTACCTGATTCCCATACCCTCTCCCATACCCCAGTCAGCAGAGCCTGGGAGGAGATATGGGTCGTGGGTAAGCTCTGGGGATCTTGCTCCATTTGGGGCTCTGTCCAGAGCCAAGAGCTGTCGCTTCCTGGGGAGGGTCTGGGCACTAGATCTAAGCCCGACTCCCTCAGGCCCTGACCACACAGTGCCTTCCCTGGAAGCAAGAGGCGGCTGCTTCTGTGTCCTGGTTAAGCCCACCTGTGTCTGTGTGTGGCCCAGGTCCCTACTGTGGGCATCATGGCCACAGGAGGAGGTGCCCGTGCCATGACCTCCCTCTACGGCCACCTGTTGGCCCTGCAGAAGCTGGGCCTCCTGGACTGTGTGACCTACTTCAGTGGCATCTCGGGTTCTACATGGTGAGGGCCCTGGGGACTGGCAGAGCGAGATGACCAGGCCCCAGGGAGGAGTGGGGTGATGTCAGAGGGCTCCTCGGCATGGGGGAGCTAAGTGGGTGTGAGTAGTAAGTTCTGATGGATGCTGGGATTTCTTTCACAAAAGGGAGGAAACAGACATTACATAGGCCCTGCCATAAACCAGGTGTTTCAGGGCGTCCATTCCATGCTACTGAGGAGGTATAACGTAGCTGGTTCAGAAGGGGCTGAGTTTGAGTCTCTGCAACACAACTGCCTGGGAGAACTGGAGCAACTTAATTTCCTCTGATTCTCAGTTGACTTGTTTCCAAAATGGGAGTAATAGCAGTACAAACTCCCTCGGATTGGAAGGAGACAGCTAAAGAAAAACACTCAACATGTCTAACATGTACCAGGTGCTCTAAATTGGTAGCTCTTTCTTCTTTATTACCTGATTTAATCCTCACAACACTCTCTAGGATAGTTTCTCTGATTGTCCCTGCAGCATAGATAACGAAATTGAAGTCAAGGGATGCTATTTTACCAAAGACAACTTTGCCTCCCTACGTTCCACTGCCTCTGATGAGGTGGGACTTTTCACTGTTAGAGATTTATTCCTTTGAGTCTTACTGAAATGTGACTTTAAGGAGTGAAAGAGGAGTAAAGTCTGAGTTTAGGTGACAGTTGTTGAAATGTGGCTAGTCCAAACTGAGATAAGTCATAATATACAGTGAATTTTGAAGACTTGGTTTGAAAAAAATTAAAATCTATGTTAGTTTTTTAATATTTTTACATGTTGAAATGGTAATTTTGTGACATATTGAATTAAATTAAAAATATTAATAATATTTATCTCTTTTTACTTTTATAAAATGTGGTTACTAGGAAAACATATGTAGCTCAGATTGTACTTATATTGGATGGCACTGCTCTAAAAGGAGAGAGCCCTGAGACACATTTTCCAGTTGGCAGGGCCTTGGTGGCAGAAGGGACCTGTTGGAGAGGTCAGAGGTGGGGAAGGAGTTGCAGACCCAGGTTGGGCCTTGGCCTTCCACCATACTGTCCCTTTGTTCTCTCAGGACAATGGCCCACCTCTATGGGGACCCTGAGTGGTCACAGAGGAGCCTTGAGAAGCCCATCAGACATGCCCGGAGGCACCTAGCCAAGAGCAAGCTGGAGGCCTTTTCCCCGGAATGCCTGGCGCGCTACCACCGGGAGCTGGAGCTGCGGGCTGAGCAGGGCCAACCCGTGACTTTTGTGGACCTGTGGGCTCTTGTGCTGGAGTTCATGCTGCATGGTCAGGTAGGGCACCTGTGCATGCAGGGCGAGGGGGAAAGGGCAGGCAGGGTGAGGGCAGCCTCACAGAAATCAGCAGCCTGACACCCAGATTTGCATTTCAGGCAGGCTTGGAGAAGCCAGGGCTGGTGGTTGAAAGATGTGGGAACTGCTGTGTTTCAGTGTCTGCCAAACTTTGAAAGCTGCCTTTTGAATCAGGCTAGTCTTCAATTAATTGCCGTTAAACAGAAATCTCTGGATTTCCCAAGAGCTAGGGTCAATTAATGCCAAAGTCACTTAAGCAAACAAAGTTTTTGCATTGTGTTTAAGAGTTGGTGAGATTGCTTGAATAGCTTTTATTTATATTGCAATATGAAATGTATTCTTCATCCTTACAGACGTGTTAAAAACACAGACTTGAGCCAAATTTCCTGAGCTTAATCCCAGTGCCTCTTAGTAGCTCTGTGTCCTTGGGCAAATTACATAGCCTTTCTGTGCCTCACTTTTCTCATCTGCACTATGCAGATGAAAATAGTACTTACTTCATAGGGTTGTTGTGAGCACTTAGTGGTACATTGACATAAGTAAGCATTATGGGTTAACTATTCTATTTTTATGTTTTGTATCAGTATTAAGACAAAACTGAGCATATGTATTTTTTATACATTGCTTCTTTAAGAAAAGCTTAGTAAGTTAATGGCTGAATCTTACATTAACTACAATTATTAAAATCAGTGATTTTTTTCATACTATTGTTTTACTACATATAATTACCTGAACAAAGTTTCTTTAAAGCATTTGAAACAACTAAAAAGTATCTTTAACATGCATAACAAAAAAGTTTACTATCAATACATTACCCAAGGAAGAATTCTTATTTTTCTTATCTTTGGGTATCAGGAGTTTAACCAAGAATGATTATCATATAAGTTAACCAGACATGAATTCGCTTTGAATTTTTTTCTTTAAATTTTATTCTTGCTGGGAAGCAAAACACTACTTGGAAATTACCAACCATTCTTATTTTTTATTTATTAGTTTAAAAAATATTTTAGTTGAAGAATATTTATTCTAAAAATCTTAATATTTTTATTAAATATGCATTATGATAATCTTTAGGCTTGAGAAAATGCATAGGGCATAAAGAGTAATGTAATGAATATGCATGATCTCACCAACCAACCTAAGAAATGAAGTGTCACAGAGAGTTGAAGCCACCTTTGGACCCCTCCCCAGTCCCATCTCCCTCCCACCCCCAGAGGTAACCACCATCCTGAATTTAGGTTTATCACCCCATACATATCCATAGTCTGTACACTTTATTATATTATAATTACATAATAGTTTATGTACTTTTATTATATACTTTATCATATATACCTCTATTACATTTACTTTATAAATATATATATCCTTAAGAAAAATATAATATTTGCACAAGTGGTTCTGTGCAAATCTCCCTGTGCACATGTGTTAGAGATTCTCTAAGCCTTGATGATATATACCCAGTAGTGGAATTGGTAGGCCATTGTGTATGTGTATCTTCAACTTTCTAGCTATTGCCAAATTGCTCTCCAAAAGTCTTGCATTAATTCACATTCCCATCACCAGTGTATCATAGTTTCTTTTTCTCATCATGCTCTTTAGACTTCTGCATTTTTGTTTACTTTATGGGTGTGAAATGAAATTTTATGATAATTTTCCATTTCCTTGATTTTTTTTAATGAGACTAATCATATTTTCAAGTATATTTGTCCTTGGGACTTCCTCTTCTGGGGATCACCTACTCAAACCCTCCTCCATTTTTCTATTTAATTCATCTTTTAATATTGTTTGGTAGGAATTCTTTATATATGCTGGGTATTAATCCTCTATCAAATTTCAATTGATTTTGATGCATAATTTTAATATATTCTAATGTATTATCACTCTTCTCCTTATAGTGTGTGCTTTTAGGGTCTTCATTAAGAAACCCTTCCCTCCCCTAAAGTTATAAAATATCTTCCTATATATTCTTATAAAGGTTTTAAAGATTTGTCTTTTTCACAGTTAGGCCTTTACTGTACCCAGAATTTATCTTCAGGTATTGTGTAAATATGAGTGCAATTTTATTTTTTTCCATATGGATAGCAAACTTTGCTCAATATCACTTACTGAGTTATTTCCTCCACCGATGGGCGATGCTACTCCTGCCATGTGATAGTGTTCATATACTCATGGCTTTTTTCTTGGGCTCTTTCTGTTCCATCCTAGTGGGACTGATCCTCTGTCCCTGCGCCAGTTTGCACTGGCTTAGTTATACTATGTTGGCCATGAATCTTGGTATCCTATAGGGCAAACTTACCGCCTGCCACCTTGGTTCTTCCCAGGATTGCCTTGGCTATTCAGTGCTTTGCGTTTCTATATGCATAACAGAATCAGCTAGTTAATTTCTCTGTTAAATGTTGTTGGGATTTTTATTGAAATGGCATTGAATTTATAAAGCCAAAGTAATTAGTTGAGATATTTTTACTAATAATTCTGATGTATTCTTCAGGTCTGCTGTTTTGAGGGTGTTGTGTTTTACCAACTGACTTTTCTGCCTGGTGGTAGAAATTACATATAGAGTGAGAGAAGCTTGTTTTAACAGTTCATTTTATGAGGTGCTAGAAAATGCAGTTTGATCCTAAGTTATAAAAAGGACTTTTATTTAATTACCATTTGATCCTCCAGTAATGACTTTATGCATGGTTTTATGTACAAGGTTTATAGTCATTTTTAAAAAGACAAACTTAATTAGTTGTTTTTTGCTCACAAGAATAAAAATTCTTGTGGTATTATTGAGCAAAAATGCATTCCTAAAAATGAGCACCCATGATACTTTTAAAATTCTGTCCCATTATAAAAAATTGTTTTTCGTAGTTAATTATGTTTCTTAGCTTTATCTCTTAAAGCTAACATTCATTGTATGCTTTTAAAAACTTCTTCATTGAGGCAAATTTAATATTGATTACAAATTTAGGTCTTTAGATAAGAAAAAGTATTTATCATCTATGTACTAATCTGCAGTACCCAACGTCATTTAAAAATGTCAGAAAATATAACTCCATTCAACACACATCACAATTTCATTAAGTATTAGAAAAATATTATACCCTGAACTTTACTCAGAACAACTTTATCAGTCTACATACTTCTATACTATTGATTCAGTTTTGGTAAAAAAAAAAAAAAAAAAACTGCTTATAAAATACGGTATAAGCAGTGCTTCTCAAACTATCTCTTTGAAACTTTTTTTTTTCATTTGCTGACAAGCACTGAACTTCTGAGAAGCTGCTCACCATTCCTCAAGAAGAAACTCATAGTTTTGCTCTTATCTTTTCCTGTGCTACACAGGCTTACATGTTTTCTTTGTCTCTGGACAAAGGTTTTGCACACCTGTTAGTCCCACCCTGTACAATGCCAGACCCATCAATACATCACCACCCCTGCGCCAGCTCCCACACTTCACGTGACCCCTTGGGTCCTCAGAGTGGTGTTGCACGGGGTTGGGGGCCCCCACTAGAAGCAGGGGAGCTAGAGATCCAGAGGTCTGCCACAACTTAGCAGTGAGCTGTGGAAAGGAAAAGGACAGCAGGTGCTGTTTTGGGACATGAAGGAGTGCGCAGCCCCTTTCTCCAGGGCAGTAATCTGGCATCTGCAGTAAAAGGGCATTATCCCTCATCATACATGTCAAAAGAGCAGGCAAACAGGATTCCTGAATAAAAGGACTTTAATAAGGGAAATTGCAGGTATTAATCAAGCCACCTCCTTCCTCAGCACACATACGCATTCACACCTGCAGCACTGACCCGTGGATATCTCGACTCCTCAGTGCTGGGACTTGAGCCATATCTGGGGATTTTCCTGTGGATTCCCTATAACTCAAGTCATACTGGGTACCACTGAAGAACTCGGGAAAAGATGACTGTGGCTGACAGATGAGTGCTCTTCCTGAGTGACAGAGGGCTACGGGGGAAGAGGCAGTAAGCCGGGTATGCGGAGGCTGCTGTGAGTGTGCAGGGGGCTCCTTGTTGGATAGGCCGGGCCAGAATCCTGGACCGCACAGCTGGCTGAGCATCAGAATCACCTGGGGAGATTTTTAAAAAGGCAAATTCCTAAGTGGCTTCTGCTGATTATCAGAAAAGACTCAGTAATCTGTTGAACATACTCTAAGGAAATTGGATGGTAAAGGCTGATGCCAGATGGTAAAGGCAGGTTGGGACCCCCCCTGGCTCTAGATGAGGTGCCTTCTGGCTCAGAGGGCCTGAGGAGCGATGGTGTTCATGGTACACGTACTGCTCTGCCAGGAACGGCCCAGGGCCTTCCCAAGGTGGGGCTCCAGGAAGCCCCCACCATTAACCTTGCTGACACCTTAGATGAACGCTATTTACATCTCTGGCCCGGGATAGAGCAAGACCTTTCTTTGCCCCTAGAACTCCATGAGGCTCTGTGGAGGCTCCCCCAAAAGGCAAGCCATAGTCCTTGCCATCAAAAACAGAACTTGGAGTTTTATTAAAGAGAACATTCAAACCAGAAGGTGAGAATAAACAATTGGGTACAACTTCATACTGTGTGAAGCAGGAGCAAATGGGGTAAAGGGGGAGGGAAGGATGTCAGGAAAGCATCTGGGAGGGGCTGAGCCTTGAACTGCATTAAGGTGAAGCTAGAAGGGGCAGCCCATCCTCTGGCAGAGCTTACAGTGTATACTAAAAGGAGCCTCCTGCTTCCTTTCTGGAAAGCAATGTGTGTGTGCAAGCACATGAGCACGTGTGTGCCTTTGTGTCTGTGTGCCAGAATCCCCATCCACGCCACGCTTCAATCCATAAAGATGGGGCCACTGGCAACACAGGATGCAGCGGTGGAGTGTCACTGTTGACATGGCAGTCCTTGTGAATGCCACTCTCTGGAGATACACAGTGCACGACCTTCGCAGCCACACATGGCTACCCTGCATATGGAGCTGGTCCGAATGTGGGGCAGGAGCCGAAACTGAATGTGTGTACCCACCCATGCCACCCAAATCCCAGTGGCAGAGCTGCCTCCCCACCACTGGCCTGTGCCCCCACCCTGCCACTGTCCCGGTGGAGTTGCTGTCTCCAAGGTGCTCCTACCCTCACTTATCTGCCCCAGGTGATGGAGCAGAGGCTGTCGGGACAGAGAGCTGCACTAGAGCGGGGCCAGAACCCTCTGCCCCTCTACTTGAGCCTCAACGTCAAAGAGAACAATCTGGAGACCCTCGACTTCAAGGGTACAGTTCTCAGTTCGGTCCACTCTACCCTCCAACACCCACATACCCTTCCTCTGCACCCTGCTATGCTCCAGAGAATTCAAACAGGAAAGTCCTGCACAGATTTCCCAGCCTTCTGGAAGGATGGCAACCCATGGGCTGAGGAGCCAGCCTGTGGCACTCGCTGTCCTGGAGGTGGGCGGAGTGGGGATGTGGTCAAGGGGCTGGGGCAGGAGTGGTCAGCCCAGGACCCGGCCAGGCAGAGAGGAGGCTGATGCTTGCTGCGGGGCAGTATCTTTGGCCCCTATGAGAGCTGAAGTGCCTGCATCTCAGCTCACTCCCCTCCCATCCCTGCCTCTCCTTCCTGCAACCTTAGAGTGGGTCGAGTTCTCCCCCTATGAGGTCGGGTTCCTGAAGTACGGAGCCTTGGTCCCTGCTGAGCTCTTCGGCTCTGAGTTCTTCATGGGGCGGCTGATGAGGAGGCTTCCTGAGTCCCGGATCTGCTTTCTGGAAGGTGAGGGGTGGTCACTCTGAGGGCCCTGACCAGTCCTGGGCCAGGTCTCTGACTGCACGGGACTCCTGCCTCAGGTCTAGCAGAGCCCCCAGGTGAAGGCCAGGTTGGGCTATGGGGAAGAGCCACTGTACGGGCAGCCCCCTCCCCCTCCCCTTTCCATCCCCTTTAGGGGTTGGGGGCCAGGTCTGAGGCCTGAGGCTGACCTCTCCTGGGGTTTTGGCCTTCAGGCATCTGGAGCAACATTTTCTCCCTGAATTTGCTGGATGCTTGGTATGACCTCAGCAGCTCCGGTGACTCCTGGAGGCAGCACATCAAGGACAAGATCCGGAAGCTGGGTAGGAAAGGGCCCAGTGACGGAGGCCGGGGCCAAGTCCACTTCCCCTTCCAACCTGGGGTTGGGGGAGTGCCATCAGAGGGGAGGCAGGGCCAGATGTTTCCAGGCTCCTCACTAGACCTACATCTGTTTTTCTGGGCCCAGAGGAGCCCCCTTCCTCCTTGAGGACCTCCTCATGGCCAGACACCTCATGGCTAGAGCCCGGCACGGCACTGGCCCAGGCATTTAAGGGCTTTCTGACAGGAAGGCCCCTCCAGCAGCACAGCTCCAACTTCCTTCAAGGCCTCCAGCTGCACCAGGACTACCATGGCCAGAAGGACTTCTCCACCTGGGCAGGTAGGGGCCACTGCTGTAATGAGGGGCGGCTCCAGGTGGAGGTGGGCCATGGCTGTGACTGGCAGAGGCCTTGGGTGTCACAGCACCCACCTCTGACCTTGGGCAGGTCTAGGGTAGCATGAGCATTCAGGCAGTGACATGATAGGAAGATAGGACGGAGGCAGGACGGGGACATGGAGGCAAACGCAGTCTGAAGCGGGTGAGTAGATGGTCTGTGGCAGAGGCACTACCCCTGACTTCACTGCCTCCCCCCCCAGATTGCCAGCTAGATGCCACCCCTGGCCAGCTGACCCCTCAGGAGCCCCAGCTCTGCCTGGTGGATGCCGGCTACTTCCTCAACACGAGCTGTCCCTGCATGTTCCGGCCAGGCCGCAGGCTGGACCTCATTCTCTCCTTTGACTACTCCCTCTCCTCACCTTTTGAGGTACCTCCAGTCACCCCATGGGAACCCCCAACCCTCTGCTCAGGGGCAATCACTGGCCACTGGGCCACTGGCCCAGACCTTCTGTGTTCCTAAGGAGAGGGAGTGGGACAGGCTCCGACCCGCACACTTCTTCCAGGATCCTTCGTGTGGAGGTGCTGGGTCCTGGGCTTCCAGGATGGGGAACAGGGAGGAAGCTGTCAGGCTTACCCTAAGAGGAATGCAAGATGGAAGTAGGAGGAGACCCTGGCCTGTCCACATCCATCCCCGAGGGCCTCCCTGGCTGGCAGTGGCAGCTGGGGGTCCGGGGAGGTGTTGGGGTGGTAGGTAAGGCTCTGATACAAAAATGGGTCTCCTGCTGAGGACCTTTAGGCTCTGCGATTTGAATAACCCAGCAACAGCAATCCCAAATGGGGTGGTGATGCTAGATCTGTAGCCCACCATGAGGTTTCAACCAACAACACTGCAAACCACTGGGATGCTTCACCTCCCTCCAAGGCAGAGGCACAAAGTAACTTGACTGGGCCATGAACAGGGTAGAACCAGGTTGTCTTGACACTGAGCAGTCGGTTTGGGCTGGAGCCACCCTAGAGTGACTCCACTCTGGAGCACTGACCTAGATAACTGGGAAGTAGCTGGTTCTCCCTGGGCCCCCCATCCCCTACCAGGTGCTGCAGCAGACTGAGCTGTACTGCCGGGCCCGGGGTCTGCCGTTCCCCCGAGTGGAGCCCAGCCCGCAGGACCAGTGCCAGCCGGGAGAGTGTCATCTCTTCTCAGACCCCACCTGCCCTGACTGCCCTGTGCTGCTGCACTTCCCGCTGGTCAATGCCTCCTTCCAGGACCACTCAGCCCCCGGTAAGGCAGCCCCTCCCTCCCTTACAGCCTGGCAGCCCAGATCCTCAAAGGCACCGCCCTGGGCCCTCTGGTGCCCCTGCAGCCAGCAGAGAGGAGAGCTTAACGGCTAGTCCCGCCCACTTTGCAACACAGCAGTCCTGAGCCCGGCCTCTGTTGTGGGTGCCCGCATCCCTGCAGGGGCTATCTTTTTACAAAGTCACTGTACTGCTGTCCTCTGTTATGATCCCAGACTCCTTCAGCCTTCCCCCTACAATCCCCCTAGCCACCCCCGGGGCTCCTCTGCTCTCCTGCTCTGTGGGGGGATGTATCGGAACCCCGCATCCGGGGCCTTGCCTCCATTGTCACCATCCGCAGCCATCTCTGCCCTGCTCAGGCACCAAGTCAGAGGACTTCATGAAGGCTCTGCAGGCAAGACAGGCAGAGAAAAGAGGCCAGTCCCCTCTCTCAGGTTCCCCTGAACCTCCCTGGGGGCTCATTTGGACTATATTGCCCCTCCCCAGCCCAGGGTGACATCCTTTCTCCGGGAGCTGTACCTCTACTCTGGGGCCGCTGAAATCTAAGCCCTCATCACCTTCCTTCCAATCTTCACCTCCCATTTGCTGGTCAGACTTTTATCTCCTTTTAGTGGAAAACCTACTTTCTGCCTTTGGGCATTATTCCTGGCTTTCTTATTCCCACCATAATTTCAAACCTTCCAGCTTTACTCGTTAAATGCTCAGCCCAGGTCTTAGCGGTTCTCTTCCTCTCTTAACAAAGATGGGTTTTTGCAAAGCGAAAGTCCTTTGGTTTTCAGACTCTTGTTTCCGTTGTGAGTTTTAAGATTCCATTCACTAACCTAATTGACTTTGTTTTTCTGGCTGTTTCCACCTTACCCCTGATGGTGATACAGGGAGATACCACAGGGCTGCCTGCATAACAGAAGTGTAATGCTACAAGGAAATGTGGGGCATGGCAAACTTCCCATAGCTCAGAATAGTATCCTACTAATCACATTATATTTCTGGGCAAAGGACACAGAGGGTTGGGAGAAAAGCAAGGAGTCTCTTCAGTGGGGAGCAGCCCACCCCTGGGCCTAGCTGTGGAGGACTCTGGGTCCTGCCCCTGACCCCCTACCCCCTGGGCAGGTGTGCAGCGCAGCCCTGCAGAGCTCCCAGCTGGCCAGGTGGATCTCACTGGGGCCACCTCGCCCTACTCCCTGTTCAACATGACCTACAAGGAGGAAGACTTTGACCGCCTGCTGCAGCTCAGTGACTACAATGTACAGAACAGCCAGGGCACCATCCTGCAGGCCTTGAGGACTGTTCTGGAGCGCCACGCTCTGGGGGCCAGGCCTCCAGGGGCACAGACTTGAGGCTGTTCAAGGGCCCCAGGACCCTGAGGGCCACACTCTCACCCCCTTGGGCTGGGGGCTTAACCTAACTGCAGCTGGACACAGCCACAGCCCTCACGAGGCTGGAGTTCCCGGCTCTCCCAGGCCTGGGCCACTTCTGCAGCTGGTTGCACTGCCCAGAGGGGCCTGCTTCCCACTCAGAGTTTTCCCTCACCTTCAAAACTAGTTTGATGAAATAAACCCCTTACCAGGCCAGTGGATAGAACAGCTGGTCTGACCACAGAAACATTCACATGTGATTATTTTCATGCCTAAGCAGAATGGATCTGGGGTGTAAGCTGGAGGTATCAGACCATGAGCAGGGACGGGCATGGCAGGGGATGGCGTGACTGAGAGGTGGCTCCAGGCATCAAGAATCACAGTATATCCTGAGAGTCTCCTCTTCTTCCTCCTCCTCCTCATTCTTCTTTTATACTATTTTAAAACAACTTCAGTGAGATAGAATCTACATACCATACAACCCATCCATCTATAATGTACAATTCAGTGGCTTTTACTGTATATTCAGAGTTGTGTGACTAACACCACCATCAATTTGAGAACATTTTCATTACCCCACGAGAAAGCCCGCATCCCTTAGCTGCCATCCTCAAACCCACCCTCCAGCCCTAGGCAACCACTAATCTACTTTCTATTTCTACAGATTTACTTACTCCAGACATTTCATATAAGTGGAATCATATAGTATGTGGCCTTCTATGTCTGGCTTCTTCCATTTAGCCCAACATTTTCAAGATCCATCCACATTGTAGCATGTACTGGTACTTCATCCTTTTTATGGTTGGATAATATTCCATTATATAGCTATATCACAATTTATTCTTCAGTTGATGGATGTTTGGATTGTTTCCACTTTTTTGGCCATTATGAATAATGCTGCTGTGGATATTCATATGCAAGTTTTTATGTGGACAATGTTTTTAATTCTCTTGCACATATACCTAGGAGTGAAATTGCTGGGTCATATAGTCAATTTCTGCTTAACCTTTTGAGGAACTGCCTGTTTTCCAAAGCCATGTTGGAGCCAAGGGCAGGCCACCCCAATGTGCCATTGTGACATGCAGATTATTTCAGAGTTGAGAACAATCAAGGGGCAAAAAGACCCAGAAAGAAACTTTGACCTCCCACCCCCCAACTGCATAAAAAGAATTTAGAGGACATGCTTAAGGAAGAGAGCTATCACATTAGATAGCTATATTATAATGTAAACTAGGTGTGGTAGACAGGGAGGGGTGTAGCTGAGTGTTCAAGTTCCTCTTTGTGTCCCCTCATTGTTTATTTTTTCTGTGTGGCCCAGGAAATATTTGTTCAAACATTTACTCTTCATATCCTGTGAATTACTTTCCTTTACCTTTGAAGTCTCAGATGCCTATCCCATATATACCTCTGTCTTTGGAACCCATGTCTGTGGATTCTCCATACATATGTAATTAAACTTTGTTTTTTCCTCTTAATCTGTCTCATGTCAATTTGATTCTTAGACCGGCTAGAAGAACCTTGAGGGATAGAGGAAATTTCTTTCTCCCCAACAGCAGCTATACAATATGACATTTCTGTCTGTATTGTATGAGGGTGCAAATTTCTCTCCATCTTTGGCAACACTTGTTATTGATTACAGAAAGAACATTATGTTTACTAGGTTCCCCCCTTCACCAAGTCCCCCCCACATACCCCTTCACAGTCACTGTCCATCTGCATAGTAAGATGCTGTAAAATCACTACTTGTCTTCTCTGTGTTGCGCAGCCCTCCCCGTGTCCC